GTAATATTTTTATGGTATTTTTTGATATTTTTATATATAAATACTTGTAAATTTTTGCATGTGAAAAAAAACAAAAACAAACCAAAATAAATAACGATACGGGTCCAACACCCATTTTATCACATAACTGTTCATGGGTCAAAAACTTAATTCTCAAGAATTGATATATCTATTTGTCAATGATATCAAAATAATTTTTATTTTATAAAATAAATATTATTTGTCGACATGTCTCTTTTATTTACAGAAAAGGACCGATGTCAAAAATTTAAATCGCAAATATGGATTATGTCCATTATTATTTATTTCAGTAAATCAGACGTAACTCTCCTTTTTAGGGATAAACGTCGACATTTTAGACAAAGTCTCCTAATTTTAGGGACTGATGTCATTTTTAACGTGTCTCCTATTTTTAGGGACCGACGTTAACCATCTTAAAAAATTTACAAATAAGCTCAAAATATAATAGCATTTGAATCAAATAAGAAACACACATAAGTAAAGGTAATCTTTCTCTGAAAGAATGTTTTAAGGATGATGTCTACCTTCCTTTAATCATAACTAACCTAGTACCCGAATCTCTGGGACCAGTGCCTAATTTTGGATTTCTAGTTCCCTCAAATTACTAAATGGCGACTCCAATAAAAATCTTTATTCCCCCCAATCAAGAAAAAAAAACTTATTCTTTTTGTTAAACAAACATTTTTGTTAAAAAACAAACAAAAAGGAGTGGAGCCGTCACCCGACGTCGTGTAGCGACAATTGGTAATGGGCTTGTGCATAAATTGAGAGAGCTTATTGACTGCAAATGAGATGTCAATAAGAGGTATTAAAGGTGGCTAATGATGCTACGATTTCTAAACTATCTACAGCAGCAGAGCCATCAACCAACTGAAGAGATTGAGTTGTCGAGAGAGGGGTAGAGACATTCTTAGCATAACTCATAGAAATGCTGGCTAACAATTCTCAAACATATTTATGTTAGGAGAGGAATAAACTAGTGTGGGTGGGAATCACTTCAATCCCCAGGAAAAAATGAAGAAGACCCATATCCTTGAGAAAAAAAAAAAACAATATCATTTGACAACCGAGTTGAATTCTTCTCGTCAAATGAAATCATTTGACATAAAGATTGATAATTGTGGTGGTTTGAATCAATATCAAAGATATTGATCTTTCTTTACTATTGGAATCTAGCGACCTCTCTCTCATCTCTTAAACAAGGGATTATATATTAACAAAAAAAAATATTTTATAACAAAATTGAATTGAAAAAAAAATATTAAGGGAACAAATATATATAATTTGTAAAGTTTGAGGACTAAATTAAACTTTTTTTGTGAATTGGAAACCATCATCCATTTGTATAGGCTTTCCTGCTCTGATCCCTCTCTTTAAATTTTGTTCTTAGTCAATAAATTTAATTCAAATTTCCTTGAATTTGACCTAAAAAAATGCAAACACGCAAAAAACATTTGAGGGCTTAATTGAAAAAAATTTAAACAATGGATCCATATTAAAATATGCATGGGTGAGTTGTGCACGCATATATAATGTTTTGACCACACCTTTTATTTTTTATTTTTTTTATTTAGACATGCTTAAATGCTTTTGTTATGGTAACCTATAAAATAACATTTATATTAATATTTACTAGAAACAAAGTTAATGAACCAGGATTTTATCAATGTATTTTTACCAAAAAATATCAAATCAAGAAAAACATACAAGTATATTTTTTCTAAATTCTCGGATGCGTTGTATTGGCATGCACCAACACAAACAATTCCTTGTAGAGGTACGCTGACTTTGGCCAAAACTAGATCTAAAAGCTTATTGGGACTCGCTAGTACCAGACCCATCCACAATTAGGCTTGACAATGTGTCAAGCCCATGCTTGTTGGGTCTGGCTTGTTGGGTCTCGCACTAGCCAGACCCAACCACAAATGGACTTAGTAGTATGTCAAGCCCTATGCGTGTTGTGTTGGTACCAACCAGAAAACCCAACCATGATTTGATTTTGTATTGTGCTAAGCCTTGAATGTATTAGGTTTGCTGATGCTAAACTTAGCCATGGTTGAGCTTAATAGTGTGCCAAGCATAGGCACGTTGGGTATAACGCTGACAAGACCTAGCCATGATTGGGTTCGGCGATATGTAAAGCCCCAAGGTATGCTTGACCAATGCTAAACCCAAAGGTTACCAAGTTTGTAGCTTGGCCTGATACGTTATCACACCAACAAGATGAGTCTGTCATTTGTTTTTTGAAAGAGTTGAGCCTGAGGATTTTTGTCATCATAGCCCAAGCATGGTTGAATTCACAACAGCCTTGAATTCAAACATAATACATAAATTTAACGCCATTGATTCTATAGATTCTTACATAAAATCTTAGAGAATTTATTTCTCAAGAAATAGATGTAATTAAATAAGTCTATATTCTGTCAACACTATTAGGTGAATTAAAGTCTTTTATGGCCTGTCATATTTTCATCTTTTTGTTTAATAAAATAAGCTGGAAATAGCTCATAATAAACTTTAAATATTTAAAGGTGAAATTACACTCAAGTCCCTCATTTCTATATAAAAAAAAGACTTATAAATTATAAATATACCATGAAACCTTTAAAACAAAAGTTCATAATCTTCATTTTACACTGCACGTATATTTTTAGAGTATCTCTCTTTAGATATTATTATATTTTCTCTCTCTATAAAAATACTTATTTAAATATTAGAGGGTATTTTCCACTACCAAAAAAGACATTTTACTAATACTAGTTATAAACCACCTTGGCCTATCAAACTTCAAGTATAAGCTATCAACCATCTTGTCCTATCAAACTCTAAGAATAAGTTATTAACTACATGTTTAGACTGTTCAGAGAGAATAAATGAATGTATATTAATCAATTGATTAATTAATTATCTAACTCGGGATCCTGTTATTAGGTTGCTTAGATTGTTTAAACTTCAAAAAAGTTGTTATCTTAATTTAATTAAATTAAAGTAAATTTACTATACTTCATTATACGACATGTAAGTGTATGTGTGTGTGACTTGAGATATCAACTCTCTTGCTCGTGTAAGAGTACAGCGGAATTGCAAGCTCATTGATTGAGGTTTAGGCACGACGAGAGGTAAATCTGGAAACATGTGAAGCTTCCATAAAGCTACTACTGATTCAAACAAGCTACAACATACCTTCTGTTAGGTTGGTTGCCATTAATGTGCAACAACCATTTGCTATTGCACCAATCATGTGCACTCATCCAAGATGTCAAAGGTTGGCAGCCACCATTGTTGAAGAAGAGTTGGAGTTGGCAGCCACCTTTGTTGAAGAAAAGCCTCCATGAATGCCTATAAATAGAGGCATATGCAAGAGAGCAAAATGAGTGAAGAGAATTATGAAAATGTGAAGAGAGAAGAGAGGAAGAGAGAGCTGCAATGGCAAGGTCAAGGAAGGCAACCACCAACTGTCACCGCCCAACTGTCCAGCCGCCGCCGCCAGCCGCCAGCCGCTTTCACACCGTCGGCCACAACCGCCTTCACACTTGAAGGTTGATCAGCTACAGCTTCTATCTCATCCATTTCGCCTTCATCAGCTGCCTGGAAATCCAAAATTCTGAAAAGATTATTAGTTTCCAGTGCTGAGATAAAGTGTTGAATCAGGTTCCGTTTCTCTCCAGAACTGGAACTGGAGTTTGGCTTTTGTCCCGTAAGAAGCTCCACAAGAACTACCCCAAAGCTGAAGGCATCGCTCCTTGCGGTTAAAATACCCGTCATGAGATACTCTGGATCCAGGTAGCCTAAAGTCCCTTGTATTTTTGTGGCTATAATGGTTTGGTCTGAAGAAATCAGCACTGAAGCTCCAAAATCTGCAACCTTTGCTGTGTAGTTGTTGTCTAAAAGTATGTTCACGGACTTGACATCTCCATGAATAATCGGAGGGTCTGCAAGAGAATGCAGGTAATTAAGCGCAAGGGCAATCTCTGATGCTATCCTCAGACGATTGCTCCAGGAAGCTAGTAACTGCGACGTTTTGTCATGTATGTGCTTGAAAAGAGTTCCGTTTGATACCAAGTGATATATATATGACCATTATAATCCTTCTGTAGAACATGAGTATCTGAATTCGATTTTTCTAACAGTCCTCGGATTAATTTTTGTACGCACTAAAATTTAGTTCCCTTTTCTGATCCACTTAAAGGAAGGCAATGCATGTTTGGATTAGGAGATTCATGGATCTTGATTATATATGGTAGTCTTTTAAAATATATACTTGATCGAAAATTATCCAAAAAAGAAAATAAAAAACGGTTTCGAGGAACGCCTCAAAACGGAGAAACTGATCATTATAACGAGATTAAAATTCCAAGGCCAGTTACGTACCTGTAATTAATGTGATGATATCAATTCCTTGACAACCTATTTTACCATCACCATACAGACCAAGTGGACATCGACACTTGTAATTCCCAATGGTGTTCTTGCATCTTCCATGGCATGGATATCTTTCTGGATCCTTGCACTCATCGACATCTAAATGTTAAAAAAGTAGTGAGTAAAATCTGATTAATTATAAATTAGAAAAATAAATTATATAAAAAATAAATCATGCCAATTAAATGGATATGATTAGGCAATGAAAGATTTTCATGTATATTAGCCAATTGGTCTAGCATAAAACTCAGGTAGTGCTTAAGTTGAAATGTTTATAAAAAACATTAATCATGAGATGGAAATTTTAAGCAAGCTCAAATTTCTGGCTAGGCCACAGGATTTTTTTATTATTATTACATATGACGAGAGACAAACAGGGAAAGAACATAACCTGAAAAAGCATATATAAAAAGTACTAATATTGGAAAACATACCAAAAATCAATAACCAGTTTACCTTGGCATCCTTCTTGGAGATAGGGATTTCCTTCGAACCCTTCATTGCATAAGCAACGATATCCTTGACCACTCTCAGGGTAGGTGCAATTTGCATTAGCGCCACAAGCATATGCACTTCGATTAGCTTTAGCCTGTTCGCACGTCTCATTTTTAACTGCCCATTCAATAACAATATCTGTTCTATATGCATCTTTTCCATATTTTGGCTTGCGGGAGAGCGGCCAATCTGAAATCTTGAAGGAGTTCTTGTCCACTAAAAATGCGAATCCACAGATATTGAAGTCCGAAACGCTCTCGTTGTCGTAAAGACCTAATGAATATTTAAGTGATTTGAGGCCCTTGGGGATTGAGGTCTGGCAGCATCCAGAACCTGAGCAAGGATTTCCATCGGACATGTTCACATCTTCGGTGCAAAAGGAGAGACAGGCAGCTCCGTATGTGGACTCATTGTTGGTCATCCAGGCATATGTATCGCAACCAATTACTGTGAATACATTTCGGGTGTCTGAGAACATGAAGGGGCCTGATCCAAGGGTGACTGAAGTCTTTGTCCAGTTCCTTGCTGTTTCGTTATAGCAGTCGAAAGCAGTGTATATGCCTACAGTGACTGTGCCGTTCAGCTGTGATATTTTGCGAACAGGCATGTTTCTTCCAAGCAACAGTTGAGGTTGCCCATCATCGCCTGAAGTGCAGTTTAGGAGGAAGTGCGTATTCATGGCACATCTTGGTTCTCTAATCCCAAAGGGGTAAGGAACACTAACATCCCCACACTTGTCTTGGCAGAGAGGTTTTACATCTGGCGCCCTTGCTGTTGATGCAGTAGCTGGACACAATAAAAGCGACATCATCAGCAAAAACACCCACATGACTATGCACCTCCCAACTTAATAAGTAGCAATTGACCCCTAGAAGATTTGTATAAAGAAGCTCCCAACTAACTCTCTCCCGCCCCCCACTGCCTATTGCAACTTCTTTCCTTGTAGAGGACATATATATATATATATAAGCTAATTAACAGACCAATAAAACAATAGTTAACAGGACTTAATGAGTCCAAGACTACAGGGTCGATAGAGTCTTGAGAGTCCTTTCCTAGATCTTTCATTTCAGTTTTTATTTTTCGAAGCAAGAAAAATATACATGTAGAAGACTCCTAGCTAGTACCGTAAATCATCCCCCAAAATATCTTGATGTCAAGTAGGTGAGCTTGAGGGGCTCACTATAATTGCAGGGTAATCTGAAAGCTATCTCAGTTGGCATGCATGCAAAGTCGTTGGCTGCATCTGCCTGGTTAATTCCCTCCCAAATGTATACTTTTCCTTCGTAATTTCTCATGTGGAAACTGAAGAGAGATGTTTTAGCCCATAATCAATTAAAATTTTCATTCACTTGAGATTTTGTTCATTAATTAATTGTTAATTGACTTCATTTGGTTATTTTACCTGTACATTTATTTGATGAACAATTATATCTAAATTTTTCAAAGTTTTCACGCTATTCATATTAGAGCTTTATTAATCTTAAAAAATTATTTAACGGCTGATCGAAAATATGATAAGAGAGTTAAAAATCAAGAAACCATTGAAATGAAGGAGCTATTACAAACAAAAAATCTATACCTGGCTAGGAAGAAGTTACATAATAGTGATCAAATCAAAATTTACAATTACTAATACATGTGTAAACAAACCCTAATGAAGCCAAATTAATCACAGCCACCAACCTTGACGTTGGGGGTACGCAGAGTAATAATTAATGATTAAGGGGATTAGTTTTTTTTTAATTCATATTTTAAAATTATTATTTAATAGAATTTGATTTTCTAATTAAATACATTAATGTAATAATATTAAGTATATGTATTCTTGAAATTATTAAAAAAAAAAACTTAATCTCAAGTAACTTGGAAACTAATTAAAGATACATTGATTTTGAAGGGAAAATAAACACAAACACCAAATAAATACTCCGTCTTACATATTCCAAATCCAATAAATGCATCCCCGAAATGTAATTAATTAAAAATATTAAAACATGACCAAGACATCGAGATGGGAATTATTGGGAGGTTTTTTAGGCCACCTATACTCATGCTAAAAGCACAACAAGGGGATGGCACCATGTATGATCTAAATTCTAGAAATCCCTATTAAGATTCTCATTCACTTTATTTCAATTCAAAATGAATTTTTTTTATATAAATTATTCCTTCTTTTATATTGAAGTGATATACCAGCCCATCATTTTTTTTTCATTTGGCCTATCTTAGTTCAATTTATTAAATAAAAGAATTAGTACAAAATAAGAGCCACAAATATTGCAATGACCTTGTTAAGTGCTTGTTTGTAAATATGATTGTACCATGTTTTTAAAAAAAATTAATTTTTTTAAGAATTAGTACAAAATAAGAGCCACAAATATTGCAATGACCTTGTTAAGTGCTTGTTTGTAAATATGATTGTACCATGTTTTTAAAAAAAATTAATTTTTTTATTTTAAATTTTAACAAGGGGATGGCACCATATATGATCTAAATTCTAGAAATCCCTATTAAGATTCTCATTCACTTTATTTCAATTCAACATGAATTTTTTTTATATAAATTATTCCTTCTTTTATATTGAAATTATATACCAGCCCATCTTCTTCTTCTTTTCATTTCGCCTATCTTAGTTCAATTTATTAAATAAAAGAATTAGTACTAAATAAGAGCCACAAATATTGCAATGATCTTGTTAAGTGATTGTTTGTAAATATGATTATACCATGTTTTTAAAAAAAATTATTATTTTTTATTTTAAATAATATTTTATTAAAAAAACACTCCCAGCACAAATAACAAATTGTAGGTCCCAACAATCGCAAAGTCATTTACAATGGGATTAGGCTTTGTTTATTTTTAAGTTTCAAAAATATTTTTGATTTTTTGATTTTTTATTTATCTCAAATTAATATTTTTTTGTGTTTTCAAATTATTTTAATAAACTAATATCAAAAAATAATTTTTTTAAAAAATATTATTTTAATATAATTTCAAATAAAAAATACTTTAAATCAATGAAAAATCAGGAGTGGCCTTTGGGTCGAAGGGTTTATTTTTGGACCGTCTATAACCACTTGGATGTCATCCATTATCGTGGAAAACGCAAATCAACCCTTCGGCTTTTGGATCTTCTTGTGGAAAATTAAGGGCAGAGCTATCAGCACATAAATACTCGATGGGTGAAGTGGGGCCATAGATTCTTTGAAATTTGAGTGTGATTGTCGATGCCTTGATGGTATTTGTCACGGGGTTAAATTTTTCGCAACACAATTCAACCCAATGCGGCAGTCTAGTCCCAACTAAACTCAGCCTTGCCTCCCCTTTTCGCTCGTGTTTCCTACGACTATGTGTTTCGCTCACCCAACGAAGTTCCCACAATTGCCAAGTCGTATAAAAGGAACAAACACAAGCAAGCACACAAGTTTACAAGAATACCTCTCAACCTTTATTTATCTCATCAACAAAGGATTACACAATACAAGTGTGTGTGCTATGCACAAAATCGCATGCTACACAGCAGAGGCTTGGCAGCCTATTTATAGACAAGTGTGAGTTGCTAGGCTCACCCATAATCCCTATTTTTCAGGCCATAATGGGGCACTTACTCCCCATGATCTCCATGATCTCTCATTTTCGGGGCATAGTGGAGCACTTGCTCTCCCATTAACTTAGTGGCTTACATAGTGGAGCACTTCCTTCCCCACTCAGCTGCCACTTCCCCACATTTTGCCCCAATGATACAGCCATATTCTGCCTATCCGCATGGCAGTCCCTACTGCCTATTCTGCTGCGTCAGCTGCTGACTTAGAAGGTCCATCACCTAAGCTCCCACGTCCATGCCAAGTCGCAAGCTCAACGACTCGCATAGACCATTGCACGCTGCCTGCCGAATTCGTTTCTGCCTACGCAAGGCTGCCGCTGTCCATCGCTGCCGAATTCTAGGCAATGTGCCTTCGTTGGCGCATCCCCGCGCTTAGAGCCTTAACAGTATTCCTTAATTATTTATTGGTGATGTTTACTATTATCACTTTATTCTTGGTGGAGCATTCTCAAAATAAAAGTTTTCAAGTCTGAAAATAAAGTGTGGAATTAAATACGTGGTGAATGTTGTAATCCTAATTCAATATTGAAGATTTAGAAAGAAAGAAGTGAATTGAAAATTCATGTAAGGTCAAGTTCAAGAAATAATTTTTATTATATATATAAAAGAAAAATGTTAGTCCTTAGCTGTAGGATGATATTTTCAGCTTTTTTTTTCACATTTTAGTTTCTCAATCTGAACATTAAAGAACAAATTATTTAATTGTTTTGTAAACAAAATCCCTTTAGGTTGTTTTTTTTTTTGAATTTTTTCCATTGATAACTTTATTAATAAATACCTATGAAAATATATCATCAATATATACAGAAGGAATCTCCTTCAAAATAAAAATAATCAAACAAATCAATAAGATAATGTGTAAGAAATTACACTTTAGATTTTATTCATTAATTAAATTAGTTAATTGTTAATTCACTTCATTTGGTTATTTTGCTTGTCATTCGGTCAATTATATCCAAGAATATGTTTTTTTTTGTTTTAAAAGTATTGTTTTGTATTTTAAAAGTATTTTTTGTTTTAATTTTTTTTTTGCATTTTTAGATAATTTTAATATGTTGATGTCAAAAATTAATTTTAAAAAATAAAAAATATATTAAAAGTTTTAAATAAAAAATACTTTAAAATATAATCATCATCAAAGAAAATCTATTTTTCAATGTTTTCACGCTCTTCGTATTGGAGCTCTATGAATCTTAAAAAATTATGTAACTACCGAAGATATGATGAGAGAGTTAAAAATTAAGAAATCATTGAAGTGAAGGAGCTATTACAAAATAGAGGTCTATACCTGGCTACGAAGAAGTCACATAACATTCACCGGATCAAAGTCTACAATTACTAGTACATGGAAACCCCAATGAAGCCAAATCATAGCCGCCAACCTCAACATTGGGAACCTATACAGGGAGAAGTCACATAACATTGACCAAATCAAAGTCTATAATTACTAATACATGTGTAGACAAATCCCAATGACGCCAAATCACGACCACCAACCTCGACGATTGGGGTAAGTAGAGTAATAATCAATGATTAAGGGGATTTTTTTTTCAATTCATATTTTAAATTTAATACTTAATAGAATTTTATTTTCTAATTAAATACATTAATGTAATAATATTAAGTATGTATTCATAAAATTATTAAAAAAAATTAATCTCAAGTAACTTTGAAACTAATTAAAGATATATTGATTGTGAAAAGAAAAATAAACACAAACACCAAAATAAATGCATCCCTGAAATGTAATTAATTAAAAATATTAAAATATGACCATGACATATTTACTTGGAGATTTTATAGGCCAAATATACGCATGCTAAAAGCACAAGAAGGGGATGGCACCTATTGTTATTAAATTTGGTCTAACCTAGTAGGTCAATCTGATAACTAGATTGGTCCGAGTTTAATAAAAAATTGGTTGTGGCAACCCAGGTGACCTGACGGGTCGATATATGATCAGGCGGATCAAACATAACTTTTTTTTTAAATGTGAGATTTTAAATTCATTAGTATATATACTTTATATTCCCAAAAAAAAAATCATATTTTTTCAATGTGATGAAATTTTAAATTCACTAGTATATATACTTTATATTCCCAAGAAAAAAATCATATTTTTTCAATGTGAGATAAAAAAATATTTTTGTTTAAATACTTCAACTTAAAAGGATAACATAGTATCTTTTCAATATAGGATTTGAAGTTCTTTCGTATATATAATCTATGTTTCCAAGAAAAAAATCATGTTTTTTCAATGTGAGATAAAAAAATATTTTTGTTTAAATACTTCAACTTAAAAGGATAACATAGTATCTTTTCAATATAGGATTTGAAGTT